ACACACACACACACACACACACACACACACACACACACACACACACACCTAATTTTTCACCATAAATCTGCTGCTTTCTATAATGTAGGTGATCCGCAGTGAAGCATCTGTCATAAATAATTAACACGGATGTTATGTGTCACATTACTGAAGCTAAATTACTCATCCTGGATGTTCAGGACAAAACACAAAGATCCAGATGTAACGCAGAGGACGACTCGTCAAATTAAACAGTTTTACCTGATCCTCTGAGTTAACCCAAGATCTCATGAACTGAGGAAAAACAAGACTGAAAATAAAGGTTTGATACAAAAAATTAGTGTGAACACTGAAAGCTTAATGGCTGCTGAAATTAGTTAAAGCTAAAATAAAAGAACACCAGCCAACACCTGAACATTGCAAAAATACATGCTAAGGGCTAACTTGAACAAAACAGTAGCCAGAACCGGAGTATCTAAAAACTAGCTAATTGTAGCAAAAATGTTAGCCTAAAGCAGCAAAATGCTAGTGACAAGTGTTAAAATACTAGCTAAAAGTGTTAAAGGGTAAAAGTAAAAAAGTGGCAAAAAGCATCAAAAGGCTAACTAACTACAAAAATTCCAGCTAAATCTCAAGAAGCAAAGGTAAGCTAAAACATAAAAGCAGAAAATGGCTAACTAAATCTGTAAAGAGATAAATATCTCCTAAAAACAGGTGTTTTAATGTAAAAACAGGTGTTTTAATGTAAGACACCTGAACGATGAGTCCAGCCAACCCAACCCGCAGACAGACAGATCTCCCAGCTGTCTGTGCGCTTCTGTGGGCGGACTGCACAGAACCACTGGGTGGAGTTATCCTTTTTTTTTTTTTTTTTTAGAAATGGATCCCAAACTTGTTGAGTCAAACAGCAGAGTTAACGAAGAGAAGCTGGGAGCACCTGATGGTTGAATCTTTGGGACAATCCGCTCCATGTTTCTGGCTTTTTTTTTAAACTGTCGGGAGATAAATCTACCTCCAAAACAAACCCAAAAACTTCCATCTGATCTTCCTCCTTTTTACCCAAAGAATCATCGATAAGGAGACTTTGCACTTTATTTCTAGTTTCATTTTTATTTGCACTAACAATGCACAACACGCAGAAGGACACGACCTACACGAAGATCTTTGTCGGGGGTCTTCCCTACCACACCACGGACTCCAGTCTCAGGAAATACTTCGAGGTTTTTGGGGAGATTGAAGAAGCGGTGGTTATTACCGACAGGCAGACCGGCAAGTCCAGAGGTTATGGATTTGTAAGTATCTTTTTATTACAACCCCGACTGACATTTAAATGGGGTCAAGGGTTGTTCRTGTTTTGATAAGCGGACTTATTTTTGTCTCCGCGTGGCTCCTAGTGCCAACTTGTTGCGCATATTTACGCGCTCGCACAATCTTTACGCAGCGCCCTGACCCCGTCTCTAACAGCTGCATGTGAGGTAACCTCGTGTCATTCTGTTACAGAGCACTTTAACCAATAAAAAAAAGTCATGACTTCATCAGGCAAGGCTGCTGCTTCTCACAGAGCCTGCTCTAACTTGTCATTGAAACCATGTGGACACTCAAAACCCCCGAGGCGCAAATCTTGAGGCACTTCTCTGGGAAAAAAATAATAATTTGTTCAAAACAAACAAACTTTACAACTTAAATTGTAAAAAGTTATTAATTTAAGAAGCACCAGATTCATTTGAATCAACATTTTCACATCTGTACTGATTATCGTGTTTTTAATGCTCTCTTTTTTTAAAGAGTACAAAGGGTTATGTTTGTTTTGAAGAAAAAAACAGCAAAAAACTAAAACTCTTCACTATTTTTATTAAAGGCAAGCACAAAAGTACACATCTTTAGGAGCCTAAGCTTGGTTTTTTCATTAGCTATATCTGAATCCTTTTTTTTTTTTTATCATTTAGAACAAATTCCTCTTATTGTTTCTGTCGGTTCTAAGTCCTGGTTTCACACAAGTATTAATAAATACAATTATCTCCTCTGTAGTTTTGGTTTATTTGTTTTGGAATTGGAGCATTAAATCTTGTTTTTCCAGATGTGCGCTTAAAGAACAGATGTATGACGCCCAGTTTCTAATCAAGTTTCATCATGTGAGAGCTGATGATTCTGGGCTTTTCTCACAGTTGTGAGTCTTTGTCTCTGTTAGACACCTGCTTCTTCCTCCTGTCTTGTTTGCTCCTGTCGACAGGTCACTATGGCGGACCGCTCCGCTGCAGACCGGGCCTGCAAGGACCCCAACCCCATCATCGATGGCAGGAAGGCCAACGTCAACCTGGCATACCTGGGGGCCAAGCCTCGCGTGATGCAGCCAGGTAACTGTTGGTTTTGTTTTTGTAGGGTGGATAAGTTGATGAGGTCATCACAGATGCTCAGGTAAATGAAGCAAGAAGTTCTTGTTAGAACTCAGAAAAATGTCAATAATCCAGACAGCTTTTCAAATATTGAGCTAAACTTCAGTGGGATATAGACGAGATTCATCCCCAACATGTTGCACAAGATCTGATTATAAAACTTATGCCATTAACTTATTTGGGCAACTCTGTTTGTCTGTTAGCAAAATATCTCACAAATCTTTAAATTGATTTTAATAAAGCTTTTAGAAATGAAACACTGAATGATAATCTACAACTGATTAACTTTTGGAGTCAGCCTGGTTCAAAATGGCTGCCACAGCCAGCTGATTTAAGGAAGCACATAAATGGCTTTAATTCAACCAGTTTTGCTGATGTTGAGCTAAAATTTAGCGTGGTAGTGCCTTAGTTTTGTCCCCACACATATTTTGAGTATTTCACATTTTAGCCCCAAATATCGGCACTAACTATTAGCTGACTGTGATTGTCTGTTAGCAAAATATCTCATGAATCCCAAGACGGATTTTAGTGACACTTTTAGAACATAACCATCAGCTGTTTGTTTAAAAGTCATTAACATTTGGAGTCCATCCAATTCAAACTGATTGACCAAAAAAAATGCTGAACAAATGTTGCGTTCAAATTAGTTGCCGAATCCTWAACACATTCTCTGAGTGCCATCATCAGAGAGATCTCACAATATCTCATGAGATTAACGTCACTCACAGGATTAGTTGTTTAAAACTCTATTCTGAAAGGCAGTGGGTGATATGCATTCCTTCAAAGAATTTTAACCCTTTAATGATCAAGCTGATTTTTTGTTTTTGCAGGTTTTGCCTTCGGTGTTCCCCAGATTCACCCGGCGTTCATCCAGAGGCCTTATGGGTAAGGATGGATCTGCTTTATAGGAAATTTTCCAAATCAAAACATTTTAATATTAAGTTCCCATTTAAACATGAAGTGTGATTTCCTGTCTGAAAAACAGCAATGGTTGATTATCAGCTGTGAGGTTTCCTGATGTAAAACAAAAGAAAAAAAAAAGAAGTGAAATGTATGGATCTGAGTGGACTAAAGGTGGTTCTCTCTCTGGTTCGACAGGCTCGCTCGCTCTTAAACTATCTGTGCTGCTTTGTGGAATATTTCAGCGTAATCACAACTCAGACTCATACGCACCACGGTGATTACAGCTGCATGGGTTTCATGTTGTTGAAACTTTGATTTGAATAGAACGTAGCTTGGTGTGCGGTTATGAAGTGGTGTTTAGTTCAACTGTGTGCTTTAGTGGAAAAAAAATTGAAATTTTGGTTGGTTGAACTTTTGGGGTGCTCTTTATTTTTTGTGTGGAACTTTTTGTGATTTTGTTTAACAGTATTTGCTGTTTTACGTGTTTTATTTTGGCTGATGGTGGATTTACTTTGTGTGGATTTTCTTTAAAACTACCAAAACCTTTGAAACTTTTACTTCTTGGATAACAAAGCTCCTCACTGCCTGTGTGTACTCGGCGTTGTTTCTCACATTAACGCAACAGAAACACATTCATCATCACTTTATTGTGTTTTTTTTATTTTCATAGATCAGCATTTCTGTCAGAAAAGTGGATGAATGAATGATGACTGTGTGTCCAGTTTCATGGGGTTCTGTCCGTCCACGTGCACGCTCATTTCAGCTCAGCTCGCCAAAGTCTCCAGTGTGACACAAACAAACGTCTGGATGTCTCTGTCTCTCTCTTATTCTCTCATGGCGAGCGTTCGTCACATGGAATCGTGGTGTTAAAGAAAACAAGCGCACCCATTGTGCCACACAAAGCCCCGAATGCTGATGCTGCAGTCGCATGAAGCTTTGAGTTCTGTGTGTGTGTTAGGGGGTCCACAGAGGGTGCTGGAACGATCATTCCCCGTCATGCAGCAGCAGCTGAGCTATTTAAACAAGACTTTGTGGGTCTGTAAATGCAAAGGTATAGAACATTTAGACTTGCCTTACATCCAAGTTAACGATCACACAGTTTGGGATCCAGTAGAGAAAAAAATACTTTTAAATGCTCAGAAGATACTGACAGATAAAACTATTAATTGTGAAACTTGTATGAGCAATAATCCAGATTATAAAGCTGAATGTTTGAGTTTGTCCATGGTGGAAATGTCAACATAATCTCTTCAAAAACACAACATAAACTTGTTTAAAATATGTGCCTGTGACACACATATCCTTCAAATACAAAAAATCAAATAAAAAAGCTTTACATTTATGAAACTTGGCATAAAACMTGTAAATTTATTCATTTTATCACATAACTGGCATTTTTTCTTTTTAATTTCGATTGGACAAAACAAACAGGAAGTGACATCAAAGGGGATCTCTTTAAGAAATCAAATTCTCTGGTCTTCGCTTATAAAGCGAGATTGTTTGAACTCTGATACTTCTCCATTTATTTCTGATAGTGACTCAAAATAATCTAAAGAAACATCTGATTCTTTTCTACAGTCTAACCACTGTAGTACCACTTTGTTTACATTCAGACATTCCCCTTTGACATCACTTCCTGTTACTTCATATGTGAATATCTCAACACCTGCTCATCTCAGTGGCATTAAATGTTTGTTGTAATAAGTTATCAGTGTTATCTTTCCAAAAATGCATTCACATTTATTACAAAAATTTGACGTCACAGGCACTTTAAGCATCTTTCACACATAAAAAAGTAAATCAGAAGGTCAAACTCAGTTACAAATGGGGGCCAAAGTTCTAAACTTGGTCCAAGGGCCAATTACTYTCAACATTTAAATGAACTAGAAAAATGAGCTCAAAACTAAATAACTAATTAAACAAAACACAGATCCTCAAAGTTATTAGTTTTAGTCTGAACCAACTGGCTTTTATGCTCGATTGAAAATTGGGGGGGAAGGAATGAGTCAGAAAGTGACCATATTTGTGCAGAATGAGTCTCAAGAGARCTCTTGCATGAAAGTCTGTGGATTAATGGCATCAAGGTTTTTAAACAGTAGTTAAATTTCACAGATGTCAATTTCCTGCTCTAACACACTGAGGTGCTTAATGTGACGTAATCACAAAAATATGGAAGTCGTGTATCCATTTGAGAATTGTTTCAGGAAAGGATGGATGGATGGGTGGATGGATGGATGGATGGATGGATGGGTGGATGGATGGATGGATGGATGGATGGATGGGTGGATGGATGGATGGATGGATGGACTATATCTGATGCTCTTATTGGCTGTTTGTGTATTTTACTAAGCTTCCAATTATGAAGGTCTTATAGAGGCTAATGTGGCTAATTCAGACGGTTAAATAAATCCTTAATCTTTAAGTAAATCTTAAGTAAAATCTTTAAATCTGTTTGAATCAGCCTCTGTGAAAGACAGGAGTTTATTTTTTCTCTTGTCTCCATGCTGAGGAAAGTCATTTACTTGTTTTCAGGAGATAAACTGGTGCTCCTGAAACTTTATTCATGCTGTGTGTGAGTTTGGTGCTCTGCCAGCTGATAGGGTGGAAACTAAAGACGTCTCAAAATGTCCTCAGCTGAGAAGTTTATTTCAAGGCTACTGGGAAACGTACAAATCCCTGGAGGACCTTTAAACAAAACATATTGACGGTCTAATAATGCCTGAGCGGTCGCCTCAAACATGAACCACGTGTTAAAGAATTTGACTGGAAAACAAAATAATATGGATAACGATATGTTGACATAGTGCAGTTTACATTTCTGATCAGATTCATCAGTCTGGAACCAGAAGTCTGGCTTCTTACTTTCTGTTTATT